TGCATCTATACCTGGATGTTTTCATGATTTAAGTATAGGAGAAAAAATGTTTCTCAAACTACCAGGAAAATTAGGACAAAAAATTAAAGAATCTTGAAAAAATGATGAGGTAACTCCCATGTTGAATAACCTCTCAATAATAATACAACATATCATGAAAGTGATGGAAGACACTTGCACTCATATTGCTATACAAAAACAACTAAAAAATTCAGATGTTGGAATCTGTAAACAAATATATACTCCTCAACAATATAACCAAAACAAACCTAACAGGAGAAATATATCTAGAGGTAAACCAAACAATATGATGGAAACTACTGAATGTACCTCATTAGTTTGTAATGAAAAATAACTAATAATTGGAAAAGTATAGCCTTTTCAAAGCAAAGACTACAAATCACACTAGTGGAAAAATATGATTCTATGACAACTTTTTATGACGGTTGTAATCCACCAGTCATAGTATGTAGAGGCAGATGACATTTTTGTAATAATATTATAAACTTTTTATATCGGTTGTTATATAACCGACATGGTATTTGGGCAAATTCACTTTCTATGTCGGCTTAAATTTAACCGACATAGAAAATGAACTTTCTATGTCGGTTTTAGTTTAACCAACGTAGAAAGTGTATATTAAATTAAAAAAATTAAATATATAAATATATTTATATTTATATATTTACACGGATATACATTTATTTGTATATAAATATAATTTATTTGTAAATTATTAATCGGAAAATCGTATTAGCTTAGTGGTTGAGGTATCAATCTCCAACTCTAAGGTACTTGGGTTTGAGTCTTGCCGGTGACAATTCTCTTAATTTGATAATAATTCAAACTTATAAAGTATAATAAAAATATAATATAAAGGAAATGTGTAGTTTAGTAGTTGGAGTATCATTCTCCAACTCTAAGGTACTCGAGTTCAAATCTTGCCAATGACAATTCTCAAAAACTCGGACATTACTTTCTATGTCCGTTCATAACAACCAATATAAAAAGTCTTATTTTCTATGAATCTTGTATCTTAAAAGTTCAGACATTACTTTCTATGTCGGTTCATAACAACTGATGTAAAAAATCTTACTTTCTATGATCCTTGTATCTATGTCGCCTCTTTAACCGACGTAGAAAACTCATTTTAATCGACATAGAAAGCCTACTTCGGAAATCAAATCACAAAATCTCCCCCAATAGGATATAAAAAACCTACTTTGGAAATAAACAACACACATTCCTATTCCTTATTGGACAAAATAATTTCTAAAAAAACCCAGAAATTTGTTAAAGTGACAACAAAGAAAGAATTAAATGGTCTAAAAAGCCAGACCAACAATGAAAAGGTTTCTTCTTCTACAAATAATATTAGAGTTAAATATGATTACACAACCTAATAATTCCACACAAACACAAACAAAAAATGTTGATATGAATAATACAATAAATTCTAATCAAACATAAAGATTTCCCGGAATCCCCAGAAGATTAAGGGAACACCAGACTAGGAGTCAAAACCTTATACAACATCCAGGAATAATAGATAGATTCTTAAATAGACAAAGAACTACTAATGTTAGGCGATTATAAAAACATTTAAATAGGATCAAATTCAAGGATAGATTCCCTAAATCTTAGACAATTATACAATATAGGTTGGTTAAGTTCTGAAAGAACTAGTCTTTACCGATACAGAAGAATAGAAGATTTTACACTAATATCTCAACAAACTGGTAGACAACTACTAAACCAATAAGGAAGATATGTCCATATGGGATTGATTACCATTGGAGTTAGATCCTTAGTTAGGCATATGATTGGAGCCAGAACTTTGATAGTTCTACATGACTCTAGATTACAAAATAATGATTCCTAAAGTGTAATAGGTATTTTAGAGGTAGATTTATATCAATCTTTTTCACTTACATACCTTGCACCAAATTTTACATTAACACTTTCAGATGAACATATATTTTTCTTTATTACATTCATTAGACAATATCCCAAATCGTTTAATATTTCACCTATTTCATTATATTTATTATCTATTTGGCAATCATTTTCTTTACGGTAGATATGTATGAATTCATTATTTGTAAAATCATTTATTAGCTCATATTTTTTGTAGCTTTTATCCAGATTTGTATCATCAGTGTATTCTGTTATATTAATCACTGATAGTATTTCAGAAGCAGTAGAAACATCTTTATCAATTGGAAGAAAGTTCATGTGACAGGATTTTATGAGTTCTGTCTCTTTTGTGTAAAGATTTGCAATATTAGGACAATCTCTAGAGAAATGCCCTAGTTAATTATAAGTGAAACATTTTAATGTCAGTTTGTATGTTTTATTATTTCTAATTTTCCTAACATGTCTCTATCAGGATTTAAAGTTCGTTTTCTGGAATTTGAAGATCTATGGATCCCCTTTTATTTCCCCACTCATCTACTGCTCTATTTTCTGCTTCTTGCTTTCTTTGTTCTCTTCTTGTTTTCTTGTTTTCTTGCTTTCCTACCCTTTATATATATTAAAATTTTAATGGATATAAAAAATAATAACTTTTAACAATATCCAACAGATTTTAAATAGGTTAAATAAAACAAGTATAATAGGAGAAGATCCAACAAAATTTTGGGATCATGATCCTGTTATTTGCAAATTAAATATAATCAACCCTGATTTGATTATAAAAACCAAAGACATACAGTTCAATAACTGGGAACAAGAAAAATGTCGAATGCATATTGACAATATTCTAAAATTAAAAGTAATAACTCCAAGTGAAAGTCCACACAGGGTTTCTTGTGTTGAAATAAGTTTGGGTTTTCACAAAAAGCCTCTGAATGAACTTCAAACAAAAATTCCTGTATAACGCCGAACATGACTATGAAAATATTGGGGTTTACCTGAGCAGGGATGCTACAGGCATCTGCATAAGTATGTGTTTGGGCTTTTGGTTCAAGTAAGAGAGTCATTTTTATTTTTTCTTCATCTGTGGTCTCTAATTTTAAAGCCATCTGGGCTTCTTCTTTGGAATTGAATCCTTTGTAGGTAGACCACAACTGGTCTTATTTTGCCTCAGAGAAGTTTTTAAATGAAGTATATACTCCTTTGTTCGGCCCTGTAATTAGAGCAAAATGTGTGAATCCTTTCCCTGAAAGAGAGGCTGGTGAAGTTAACAAAACTCCTTTGTTGTCTGTGTTGCAGAAATTGTATAGTGTGCTAATAATGCTTTGTTTCACCTTAGCGACTTGTTGCTCATTCTGAGCTGTGTATTTTGGAATATTCCAAATATTGTCAATTAAAACATTTAATTTGACATTTGTATTTTCTCTATTAGGATAATGGTAAAGATTTGTAAGTACGAGCAACTCTTGTTTTCCATACTTTATGTATTTTTCCATAATAAATGGGGATTTCACTTGTTTGGGACCAAAAGGTCCTTTCTTTGTAATTTCCATTTGATGGGATTTGTACCTTAAAAATATCAGCAAGTAAATTATTTAATTCAAGTAATAAAATGACTTATTTTCTTCAACTTAATGTTGACCTTGTAAAAGGTAATCCCATAAGCATAGTTATGAGGATTTTGTTTGAATAATTTGTCTTTCGTTAGAAGTAGTTTGGTTAATTTTCTTTTTAACCTTTTGATTTGTTTTGTCATCTCAATGGTCGGGTTTGAGCTAAAACTAGCATCAAAACCTAAAGGCCTTAGCATGAACCCATATCCCAAAGGAATCTCAGGATCATATGGTTGTACCATATTATTATTCATAATTTGGTCTTTGTTTTTAAAGGACTTATCAGGTCGTTGAATAATCCTTTATTTTTGTATGATGTACTTGGAAAAGATATCAACAAACATATTGTCAGATCCTTTAATGTGTTCAAAATTTATAATTTTTCCAGAATTCATGTAATCTTTAAAGAGAAGCCATCTTGTGTGTGGTTTTTTATCATTATGAATTTGGTTTTTTTCATAAGAAACAATTGCCTTACAATAAGTTCTAATGGTTATTTCTGGTTTGTTTATCAAAAATAATTTAAATGCTTCTAAAGCATGTATGATAATATTTACTTCATAGTCAGTACTTGTTTGATAAATTTGTGGTTTTGCATTATATTTGCCGGAGGCATATATGCATATTTGTTCCTTAGTTTTAGAAGAATATTTGTTTTTCTTTCTTTTTAGAATGACATCCCATTCTAATTCACTTCGATCACATTCGACTATTAAATAGTCAAAATCTAATAGTAATTATAAAATCGGTAATTTATTTATCATTTGTTTTATAGTCTGAATCAATTTTATGTCTTCAGAATTATATTTTCTCTCTTCTTTAAGAGCAATTTTGTTGTATAAAGGAGAAGTGTATTTTCCCAAATTTAGAATAAAATTTCGAGCATAATTTAAAAGTCTTAAAAAAAACTCCTTTTTTTTCTTCTAATAGATATACAAGAAAATATAGTTGCAAAGAATATCACAAGATGTAAAGTATTCCTCAACCCACAAAAATAGACCAATGAGACTTATTGGTTTTTATGGTTCTCCAAACTTAACCTGTCCGATCTATAAAAAAGAGTATTATAGCGAATACAACTCACTTTAATTACAAATATATTCAAAGGTATACAAAGATTACCAATTTTAATACAAGTAGGAGGGAAAGAAGCCAAGAGAGGTGTATACAAAGATTATAAAATGAAGGTCAAACACTTTTAACTATGAATAAAATAAAATTAATTATGAATAAGTTAAAAATTAGATATGGAAAAATTATAAAATAATTTTTACAATTTATTTCGTTTAGAAATTAATTTTAACTTATATATAAAAATATGATTTTTCCTTAAATATGCTTATAAAAAAGTTCAGCTGCACATGTGCTTAGAAGTATCATAAAATAAAACTGTCTTAGAAATATCACTTGTCTTCAAAATTTTGCATAAATAATGGCAAGAAAATTGTACAAAAATGAGATCATGTTGTGTGGATGAGAAAGTGCAGTGCTATTGAGAAAGCACTGATGCTATTGGTTAGCCATATCCAAGTTCCTTGCGGAGGAGCCATGTTTTCTAAGTGCTCTCTCTTGTCCCCATCCAAATTCGTCAATGTAACAAACCCTCTACAGTTTTCAAATCCTGCACCAAAATTCATCACTAGAAGAAGCTCCATAACAAGACCCTTGCATCTAACACTCGCCAAAGACTCAGATTCAGCCTCTACTTCCACTTCTTCTTCTCCTTCTCCTTTTTCCAATGAACAACCGGTTTTCGTGACCGGCGAGGATGTTCCATTGGAGGGTGTCATCCAGTTCGAGAAACCCACCTCTTCTCTTCCTTTGGAAAAATGGGGGTAATTTCTTTTTTCCCATCAAGTTATCGGTTTTCTTCATAAAGTTGAAACTTTGTGGCAAAAATTTCAAGTGGGTCATCATTCATGTGTTGTAGGCGTGTGGCTCTGCTTGCTGGTGCCGACGTGTTGGCTTTGTTTTTGTTTGCGACAATTGGAAGATATAGTCATGGACTTTCTGTTTTGGACCTCGAAACTCTGCGAACAGCTGACCCTTTTATAGCAGGTGTGTTTGGTTTTACTTTTTTCATGATCGTGGAATTTGTGTTTTGGAGAGTTGGAGGTTTGAAAATATTGGGTGTGTTTCAATGCTTCGCAGGGTGGTTTTTGGGTGCTTACTTCCTTGGAGGTTTCGGAGAGGATGGGCGTGGGATGAATGGTCTCTCCAAGGGTGTCATTGCTTCTGCTAAGTCATGGGCTGTTGGGATCCCTGTGAGTTGAGTGCTTGGTTCTTGTGTGAAGCTTGTTGGTTATCATGATAGAGTTTTAGCAAGTAAATTTTGGATTATGTTACATTGAGATGCATAACATAATATGCTCACATCACACAAATTGCATCAAGGAAGGCTTTGTTAGAATGTGTGTACTTGGAGTGAAACTTGAATCCATTTCCACGATCTTGAGTAAACCTTGGAATGAATCTTGATTCTATATTTGCAGTCTTGATTTAAACCTGTATAAAAAAAGAATGAGGAACAAAATTGTGAACAAAATTGTGAACAAAATTGTCTAATGGAGTAATATAGCCTTCAGATGAAAGTGCTGTCTCATCCTCCCTTCATTTGGGCATCAAAGTGAGAGTCTGAACCATTATAGTTTGAAATACATACATGTCTAAATAACATAATATTACTTTTTGTAATCAATATTTTTCAATTATACCAAATTAATCTAATAATTAAATAATGTTAATCCACAAAAATTTGACAAATCTTTCATCAAGTTGTGGCCTTAGCATGAGCAGTGGCTGTTTCAAGCTTATTAGTTGGCATTTTTGCTTTAGTGCCCCTTTTATGGTGAAAGTTTAATGTGTTATTGGAACACTTTTGGAATTGGAGAGCCTTCCTTGAAATGAAAAAGATTTACAGAGCACAAAATGATTTGTAATGTAACTGAATTGAGTTGAATTACTAAACTGAGGCCAACCAAGTGTCAGCTATAGATGATTTTAGCTCTTTCATTTGAAGCACAACCTTAAAAGGTAGAAAGTAAAGTATAATATTACTTTAAATTCAACTGGTTATTACAGGTTGAAAACAGTTGCTTTGCATTCGCAGGAACATGTATTAAATAAATTATGTTTTGGTAATCCTTTCTCCAAAATACAGAAACATATTACAATTTTCTTTTGTAAAAGCCAACAAAATTTCGTTACAGATATATGGTAATCTAATTGTTCTGCATTGGGGAAAAATAAAATATGTAATGACCTTCCACAAACAGATCAATTTATCACTTCTTGATTTCTTGGCAGATAGGAATAGCAATAAGGGCTGCAGCGTCAGGTCATCTACCGAATTATGGTTTTGTATTTGTGTCTCTGGGAAGCACTGCTGTTTTACTTATTACGTTCAGAGCATTATTGTATACCATTCTTCCAGTTGACAATACTAAGAAGAGCGATGACTACCGCCGTGGCAGTCCCTTTGAACTCTTTGAGGTATATGAGCATTTCATCTTTGTTAGATCTCTCCATATTATATTTGTAAATCCATTTCAAAGCTTGGTATGAAAGAACAGGTTATTCATTCTTGGAAACTGCTTAGAAGCCTTTTCATAAGATTACTTGCGAAAATCTCAGATTTTCGAGTGTGAATTGGATGTAAACGAGGTACAAACCTCCTTATGATTCAGTTTTGTGGGTTTGAATTGGACCCAAATCCACCTTTTGATATAATATGAGACAGGTGGAGGTAGGGGATGCCATGGCCACCCCCAGAAATTTTATCTTCTTTTAAGTTTTATATATAAAATTATTTTGTGGTTCCCTCCTGAAAAGAAAATATGCTGGTCTCTTTCTTTCCATATTCTTCCTCCCCAATTGGTATAAGAGCCTATTCTTGTGTGAGGGGATGTCTTGGATCTCATATTAACTATATATATGGTCAAAGTGAGTCATTTTAAGTTAAGTTAGGCCAAAATCCACTTTCTAATAGTTACATTTGTATAATTAAGTCTGAAGTTGTGTAAAAACCAAAATAAAAGAGAAGAAAATGGAAGTGTAACTTCAGATATGCAAAGCAACGAAAATGCTAGTCCTGATTAGCTGGTAGAATCCATGCTTGTGCTTGCCAGAACTATTAATGAAGTTTTTGTTATGAAAATTGAGATTTAAACAGGCTATAATTTCTTCTGTTAACGTCTACTCCAGCAGCACAATACCCATATACTTTGAACTAACTGCAAATCATTTAAATTTCTACTCATACTAATCTTTTCTTCATCACTATATTACAATAATTATATGGCATCCTTAACTGTAAGATTTTTATAGCCATCATTGGATACTGAATCCTGATACAATATTTCTCCTGTACTTTTGTAGCTGTTGACATCATTAGTGCGGCGGTGGTAGCAATGGGTTGCATCTTCAAGGCACCATAATGTGTATGCATCAGAACAGTAATTTCCATCGGTTATCTCCTTGTACTATCGGCTCATGTGAAACAAGAGAGAGTAGATGTTTACTACAGTTGAATTTTATTCAACTAAATGTGTATACTGTTATTACACCATCAATCAATTAAAAGTGCATTATTAACTATTAAGTCATTTGAATCATGCTCTGGTCTGGTCCATTGGCAATATATGCCGTCACTTTCTCAGATCTCCCAGGTTTCCTAAACGCTTATACGAATAAAAGTAGGGGCTTTTCGAAGTATGAATAAGTTGGCTGTGTTGTTTTTAACTGCAACTATCATGGATGATTCAGAAAATATTGCATATTTATGATTATAAGATATCAGTCTATTTTACGCCAGAATAGAGACAAGACCAGAACGAAATAGGTAGGAAGAGCCTTGAAGAATTGAAGTAATTTCAATAACACAGCGAATTGCAGGTAACATCGGTTTGAGAACATTCAGCATAATGGGCCACATGTGGTAGTGGAAGACTTGGAACATGTTTTGGATAACACTTTTAATAAAGGAAAAGAAGAAAATAATTAATGAAATTAACTTTTTCTATAAATTAAAAATGAAATAGGAAACAAATTTTACAGATTTATATATACATATGAAGATTTTCATTTTCTTTTTATATTTTTAATCATTTTTTGTTGCGTTTTTTTTTTCTGGTGATAGAAAGTCGAGCAGGGAAGAAATGCAAAGATTTAATGTATTTCAATGAAAAAAATATATAAATTAAGTTGAAAAAGACAATTTTGTATGTACCATAGGCACAGTAAAAAAATGTGTTGATTTCGAACATAAATTATGTATTTGGTATAATTAATTATAAAAGTTAATATTATATAATATTTACTTGGATAATTGATTATGTTCTGAATTTTTTAAATTGTATTTAATTTTTGTCCATTTGCTATTATAGTAAGAAATAATTAAAAAAAAACAAATAAAATTATTAGTAATAAATAAATTTAATTTATTTTTTATTCATTTTTATTTTCCTTCTTTTAATTCAAATAATCCTTGGTTTCTTCCTTTGTGTTTTCCTAAATCCACCCTTTAATTCAATAAAGTATTAAGAATATATTTATTTTTTTCAAAGTGTTTGAAGTTGGTATTTTAATCAAGTAAAGCATTAATTCAATTCACGAATATATTTGTTTTTATAGCATGAGACACTCTTTATCTCTTGTTCTTCATGGGCCAATGAAACTATTGGTTTGTTTTGGTAAAGACTATGTTTTATTTTGTGGTACATTTAAGTTAGGGTTTGGTGCTTGTGATTAAGGTTGATTGTTTTTATTTCTTTTATAAAGATTTTTAAGAGAGAAGAATGAGAATAACATGTTTACAATTTTTTATATATATAATTAAAAAATTCTATAAATTAAAGTTAATTTTTATATATACACTAATTGTAATTTTTTTTCATATAATTTGTTCAAAAGTTTATTTAAAATTTATGTATAAACTCAATTAATTTTTTTCTTTATATTCACATTTCTAGAAAAACTTGTCCAAAAATGTTCTAAATCTACGTACCACAAATTATAAATGGTAATCAAGATAGTTTAGAAAAAAAAATCATTACATTTACATGAAATGTTAATTTTTTTTGCCTTCAGTATTATTGTAACGACAGACAAAGTTTTGGGCCTCTTTTTTTAACTTCATTTTTTTCTCTTTTAACACCCACTTTTTTTTTATCTTTTAAAGTTTTTAATTTTATTCTCTATGCCCACCCTTTTTCCCATATTCCACCTTAATCCTCTTATAAGTTCTGATTTGGTGTATTTTAATTTGTGTTTTAACCATATTCCATAAAAAATTAACCATCTTAATGTAAAATATAATCCAGTTTTAATTTAATATTTTAACATGATTTCTTTTATATATATTATTCATGATGATTATGTAGACGTACACGTATCACATTTTACCTCTAAATTTTTTACTTAAAAAAAAATATTTATAAAATATTTTAAGATTTTTGTTTTTTTAAATTAAATTGATTTCCCTTCTTCTCAGTTCTGCCTTTCGCCTCTTACTTCATATCTTCCTCTAACTCATAAGCGTGTAAGAATTATCAAACAAATTGGTTACGATATGAACACATGTTTAAAATATACACAAGGTTAAGTTTTATGGATTGGTTTGTGTTTTGCTGAGATTTAGGATTTTAAATATTTATTTTTATATGTGAAATATATGATATTTTATAATTTTATTTATACTATTTTATTTATGTATTTTATTTATTTAAATTTAAATAATAATATATTATATTTTTCTTTTATGAAATATAATAAAAATATCTTAATATTTAATTGTTAAATAAAAATAATAATAAAATATATATTAAAAATATCATTCATTATTTTAATATCTATTTATTTAAATTTCAAAAATTTTAATATAATTTTTTATTTTCTTTTCTTGTAATTCTTATTATTTTTTTCTTCTCACAATCACATTTTCATTCAATTTCACTTTCTTTATTAATATATTTATTTCTTTATAAATTTCATTCCCATTACCATGTGAACTTTAGAATAAAAATATTGAACTTTTGATTATTTTTTTCCTTATTATCGTATTTCTTCAACAAATATGCATAATATTTTTCTTTTATATAGACAATTCTTCTTTCACCAAAATTTAAAATAATCTTATTTCTTTTAAAGTAAATTCTTGAATAATTTCAAGTTTTGTTGTCATCTTTAATCAAACAAAACTTGTATTATATTTTGGTTAATATCAATATATAAGATATTCTTTAACCTCTTTAAATGTTTTTTTTATCATGAGAGTCATATAATTTATATAAGTCAATTTATGAATTTTGTGAATTTGTTGGCATTAAAGTATGAAGTTGAAAAAAAGTTCATCTTCGTTATTTTTACTAAAATTTAATTTTTTATTATTTAGTAAGATTTTATTTTATTGAAAAAAATTATTCAAAATGGAATTAAATAAAACCTTTAATCCACCGCGTAAATTTAAAATATTTATAGTTTCAACATTATTACCTTAAATTTGTTTAGCAATATATATTATATAAAAAAGCTGCAAATTTTGTATTTTCAATCAAAATCTCAAATTATTTTGTTTATCGAATTTTGATAATTGATTTCTATCCCTTGAATGACTCAAATATACTTGATGAAATTCATGATTTAATAATATTATCAAAACTCTGATTCACCAACTCAAATCTCTATCACCTCCTAACGGGTCTGTTTGAAACTTGAAAAAGATAAGAGATTGACTAAAAAATTTAGAGAAGGCAAATTTAGAATACTCTTTTTGACTATTAAAAAAATTGTGTTTACATTTTATTTGAATATATCCAAAAACATTGGGTGATTTCCTTTTATGTTTGTATATTTGTTTTTCCTATGAAGATGATGAATTTGGGAGTTTGTCTTCCATAATTGAAGTAGGGTTAGGTGGTAAAAATGTAAGATGGCAAAATGGCTTGATTTGGTACATTACTCCGTCAATCTAGCAGCTTAAATGGGTTGGTATATTTTAAAAAATATTTATTTAATAAAATAAAAATGAAAATAATTATAATTAAAAAATAATTTTTTATGTTATTAAAATATATAAATATATTATAATATTATAATTTAAAAATAAATCAATTAAATTTAAATTATTAATTAAAATTAACTATTTTAACATATAAATATAATATTTTTTTAATTTATTTGATAAAAAATTTAATTAATAAATGAAATTATAAATATTATTCATATAATTAAAAATATATTTTAAAAAAATATATATATATATATAATTAAAAATATATTTAAAAAAAAATATAAAAAAAATTATCAATAGACCAACTCTTTGACTCATCAATTAATCCACTTTTAATGAGACGAATTGTAATTTATAATCCCTCAACGACAGGTTAATCCGTCTCCTCTCATTCTTTTTTTCACAAAGACAATTACACAAAATTATCTATTTTAACATCATATATTTTAGATCTGTAAATTATTTAAAACAATTTTCCTTTATATTTAGATTCAAATATTTCACTCTTTATATATATATATATATATATATATATATATATATATATTTTAAGTATATAATTTTATTTTATTTTAAATTATGATAATACAAATTATTTATCTCGTTCTAACAACGCTTCATTTTAAAATATAAACTAATTTATCCGAAATAGATATATGATTTATGATGGGATGAATTTGATGTATTGAATAAGATTATAGCAAAATTAATTTTAATATTTCTTTTAAAAAATTTCAAAACATCATTTTAAATTTATAAGTTATATATTAAAAGTGATTTCTTTAATGTCTCGCCAAATAATTTGTTTTATTATGTATTATATCGTACAAATACTTTCATCATAGTTAACACTTAGTTAATACTTAGTAGGTGTGGTATTAATTTTACATAATATTCTATTATACCACATTAAGTTATTTTTAATTTTTTGATTGTTTAATGCTTAGTATATAAACTGAAATATTACTACGTTATAATAACATCAAATCAATATATTCTTGGACCATAATATTGAAAGCAATGAGGGGGAGATTGATGGAAATGTTCTTGCATTCCCAAAAGATGATTTTGATGATGATTCAAGTCAACTACATTGAAATTAACACCATTCAAAGATGAATTTAAGGATAAGCTGAATTTATGACGCAGGTGATAAAGATGATGATTCAAGCAAGTTCAAGATGATTCCTGAAGACTATATAGAGTCTTAGAATACTAGATATGGAGGTACAAGTTGATGAAGTAATATTATGCATAAGCCTCCAAAGCTGATAAAATTCATAACATAATATTTTTCACTGTCATAATTAATTATGATGCACCAGAAATGAAAAAATGATTTTCTCTATCATAATTAATTATACTAGTAATATAATCAATTATGGCAATTCAAATTTGA